TGCATTTGGGGAAAGTCAAAGATTATGGCAAATGGGGGAAAGAATCTCAAAAGTAATAGTGAACATAAAGTGAACAAAGGATGCTTAGCAAGTAAAACTACACTCAGAGTTAACAGAAATCTGGTATCCACTATTAAAAAAAAGAATAAGACAGTATAATAAAAGAAAAAACACTCAGATAGCAAAAACATCGCTTAGAAATTAAATATATGGTAGCAAAAATTTTAAAAGAACCAAAAAAAATTAAATTAAATAGAAGGGTTGGGAAATATAGCTAAACAACTATGCCAGAAAATAGAACAAAAATGCAGAATGAAAAATAGATGAAAAAACTGAAGAATATTTTCAGGAGAATGAAGAAATAATACAAGAAAGTATACTAGAATTCTACAACATGAATTTTCAAGCTGAAATAGGTGACTGAGTTCCCAACACATTACTGGTAAGAATCTCACTAACATACATCATTGTGAAATGTAAAAACCACAGTGACAAAGGGAAGATAAAGCTTCTAGAAAAAAAATACAACATTTAAAGGATTAACAATCAGAATGTTATTAATTTTTCAAGCAGTAATGGCCATAAAGACAACAAAGAAATACCTTATAAAATACTGAGGAGATATGGTTTTCACCTTGGTATTTTATACCCAATCAAACTAGCAAACAAGGATGGAATGACTGGAAACTGTACATATGTAGTTGTAAAAATATACACATACATGTGTATAATATGTACACACATATGCATGCATGGTGTAACACATATGTTCCTATCTTTTCCTTACTCACAGAATGCTATTTTGTTTGAATCACAAAATGGGTACAGCAAAAAATATTACTTTTCTACCATCCTATGCAGCAAAAGATGGCCTCGTCATAGACTGGCCAATGAGATCTATGAGAATCTGCTAAAAGGCTTATGATGTGATTTTCCTGATAAAAATAAAATTGACTGGCTCTGGGTTTTTTGTTTGTTTGTTTGTTTTTTCCTCTTCTTCCCTTTTACTGCTTAGAATTCCAGCAGTCACCATGAAATCATGAGGTAGCACCATAGATTCAGAAGCTAACATCTAAGTATGGCAGAAAAAATGAAGGAGATTGCCTGATTATATCACTGACCTGCTGCTACCCAGTAATATCAGCTACTAACTGCTTACTTCACAACTGTTTGTCATGTAAAGAAAGAAAGAAAAACTTTGAAAAGTTACTGTGTCGGGTTTTCTGTTATTTGCAGCTAAAATCATCCTTGACACATTTACAAGTTCTCTCTCAAACGCTCTTCCTTAGGAAGTTACTGGAAGATGTGCTCCACAAAAATAAGGAACAACTTAAGAAAAAGTTATGGTGCTCAAAAAATGGGGGATCCAACATGGGAAGGGTAAGAGAAGAATTTCCAGCATCTTGATACTAAGTCATGAAACAACAGCTGAAATGTATACCTACAATGTAGCCTGTTCATGTTGGAACCAGAGGGTAAAGGAGCCCAGGAAAGATGATACCAAGTAAAAATAAATGATTAGTAGTTCATCTGGTGTGCTGAAAGGAGCATTATAGTATATTATAGTATTTCCAGAAAAGTTGGAGATAAAGCAGAGATTGTATGACAAGAAAAAACAAAAACAAAAATAGTTTTTTCCTGTTCTCAATCTCAATAAAGAAGGCTTCACCTCTGATCACCGAAATATGTAGGGATTTCTTCCCATTAATAACCAGTTCTTCAGTGAACATTCACTGGGTGTCCTAAACTTTAACTCAGTTCTGACACTATCTACCCAGAGATATCTTCAAAGGATCTTAACTTATGATCAGCACTTCAGATGCTAATCATAGTCTTAGGTTATCACCTCTACTTCTAATCAACTGGATATAAGTAGTAAACAAACAAGCAAAAAGAAAAGGCAACTATTAACTCTAGGGAGAACAATAAATTGCTATAAATAGGGGTCTCATGATCCCCTCCTCATGCCTGATTAATTTTCTGGGAGGGTTCACAGAACTCAAGGAAACATGTATTATATTTGCTGGTTTATTATATTAATGAAGGCTACAATAAAGGATGTAGATGAACAGCTAATTGGAAGATACATAAGACAAAGGAAGGAGGTAGGTGCCCTTCACATGTTCAGCAATCTGGAGACTCCCAAACCCCATCATAGTGGGTTGAAATGGAGATTTCATGACATAGGGATGACTGATGACATCACTGTCCATTAATGATCACTGGACATTGAGGTAAGGCTGAAAGACCCAACTCTCTTTCACTGGTATTTCTACTGGTCAGCCCCAATATCCTGAAGCTACTTGGAATCCACCCCTTCCCAAAGCCACTAGTCATCTTATTAAACATACAAAAGACACTTATCACTCCAGAGGTTCTGAGGAGCTATGTGCCAGGACAGAGTCCAAATATTTATTACTTATTATGTCATAGTATCACAGTTTGGTACACAGAAAACAAAATGAAAGTAAAACAAACAAACATACCAAAAAAGAGAGGCAACTATTAACCCTAGTGAGAGCAAAAAAGTTGCAAAAGGGATGAGATAAGAGTTATAGGACACTGCCTGGCTCAACTGTGAAAGATATTTGCAAAGTCTTCATGAAGAAAACGTTGAATTTTTAAAAATTATGGCAACACTATATTGAGAAGTTGGAAAGAAATATTGAGGTGTCTGTGGTAGAGTAAGCAGAGTGGAGAATGAGATTAGAAAGCGAAACAGTAAGTCATAAAGAGATTTTGATTTTCTTTCCCAAGAGTGAGAGAAAACCATTGATGAATAATATTAAATAGGAGACTAACATGATCTAAATCATGATTGAAAATAGTGACTTTGGCTATGGCATTGAACACACCTCGTCAGGAGGAGAGGAAAAGTCAGTTGCTAGTGAGTAGGTTGCTACCATAGAGATGAGAGTTTCCTAAAGAAGGAATTTTTAAAGCAGCCTGGATTGGCGGGGGGAGCACATTTTAGTTTGAAGGATGTGGACAGATGGGAATATAGGCTGGAGTTTGATTGCTTATGATGAGGAAGGGGAGACTCAGAGTGACTTCCTAAGTGAAGGGGAAGTAGCCCAGAGCTTGTGCCATCTGAGCCAGGCCTCTGGAGAAGGAAAAGGACATGACCACTGAATTGGGGACGACTTGGAAGGGGAAGCCCTTGGCAGGAAGGTTTGGAGTCCAGAGTTCTGTTTTGGGGCCTGATAGGGTTTATTTGTCACAGAAGGTACCAAGAGGGCAACTGTGTGGAACTCAGGATAATGGACAAGGCTGGAGGAGGACCCAGAATGTGCTCTGCCTTCAACAAGTTTTCATTCCTTTTGCCATCATGAAGAAATGTTTCATTATGGGTTTCTAAACAACCTCAATGACATGATTGGAAGGCACTGATTAATACTTGGTACTGAGAATCCAAGGGTAAAGAAGCAATGCATGGTTTCCGTCTGGGGTCACATCTATTCTAAGGAAAACTCTCTCCACCAAAGTTGGAGTCATAAAATGATAAAAGCCCAACCCCATGAAATAATTTCCTATTGTTCACTTGATTCAATAGACATTTTCCTCTAACAAACACCTATCATCAGTAGACTTTTGTTTTTGTGAATGGAGCATGTTCCAAATTAAAGACCACCTTATGCACACTTTGGGACTGTTTCTATTTTTTTTTTTTTTGAAGTTCCTTTACAATAAACATTCAAAAGGACCAATCTGTAAGACTTTCAAGACGCTTTTGACTACCGTTATTTTCATTTGCAGGTCATGGGGTTCCTCAAGAGTCATCTGTGTTCTTCTTTCTGGGCTTTCTCATTCCTTCTTCCTTTGTGCAATCCTTTTATTTGATCACTAATTCCCAATTTGGTCTTTATTGCTGTGTGGATTTTAACAAGAACCGTGTTTTAGCCACATTACAGTAGGCATGGTGGGGGTGGAGGGTAGCAGTGGCAATTGCGAAATAAAACGTACCATAAAGTGGTAACGGTTCGTGATTGAGGCCAGTTGTTGAAAAATAAATGCCTGTTATATAGAATCATAGAAATGCGGAGTTTGAGGCCAAGGCAAATCATTCTTTGGTGGACTGACAGCGCCTCTAGCGGCAGAAAGAAGGCGACGGAAGCGGGGACCAGAGGAAGCTCACGAATTTTTAAAAAGGCACCTGCTGAGTGAGTCCTCATTATGCAAACAAGATCCACAGGTGTCCGATTTTAAGGGGATTCAACTCGAGAAAATCTAAGTCTGTAAAACAGCTATAAGATATGCACTTTGATTTAACTCTGAAATGAGGATCGCTTTACACGACGTTGATGTAAGCGAATACTATGGTCAAGAATCTGTGGATAGACAGATGAATTTGGCTGAAGTTTGGCCGCTGCCTACGGCTGGGAAGTGAGCTGAAAAGGGCGGAGAGGGATGTAGTAGGTAAGAGAGTCAATTTAAAGAAAAAAAAAAAAGGAAAAGAAAAGAAGGGAGACCACGGGGAATCCCAGCAGGCACCGCTGCGGAGGAGGGTCTGGTTCACCTGCGTGGCTACTGCCCGACCCCCAAGTGCATCGGTGGGGGAGGCAGGGAGTGGAAAGAAAACCTCCGAGAGGGTTGACCCAGAAGGGGGGGTGGGGGGCTCACCACGGGACAGGTTCAGTAAGACAGCCCCACGAGCATCATTCGGGGCGACACGTGTAACTGTCAAGATATAGAGACGTTGGAGCAAATGTCACCCAAGAGGGGAGGGGACGGGAAGTATCCCAGAGCTTGTGCCATCCGAGCCAGGCGCTGCTGGCTGCTTCAGGGCCGCGAGCCAAAAGTCCCCCCCATCTTTCCCTTGGGAATTGGCACCTGGGAGGGGATCGCCTCGCGGCTCTGGGCACGCGAGCCCGGGGCTCCTCAGATGCGCCCCAGTGCGCCGCCTCTCGGGGTAGCCCGGGCACTCTGCAAGCCCCAAAGCCAGAGCAGCGCGCGGTGCCCCGGGCGGGGTGGCAGGCAGCCTCCTGGGCTCGGTGACTTACCTCGGGCTGCGCGGGGCGCGAACAGAACCGCGGCCAGGGCGAGCAGCAGGGCGCGGGCGGGGGACGCGAGCGGCGGGCGCGCTGCCATGGTCGCCAGCCTTCCGTGCAGCAGCTCTCGGGGCCCGGCGGCCAGCGCTGCACCATCCCACGCGGGCGGCGAGTCGGGGCCGGGCGTCGCGGCCGGAGGGATTTCCTGCTGCAGCGAGTCAGCTCCGACCCCTCGCGCAGAGCCCGCGCGGCGAGGAGCGAGTCTAGCTTTTCATTTTTTTAAAAAAGTTTCCCCGTGTGTGCGTGCGCGCGCGCGCTGCTCTGGCACGAGCCAGCCTTGACCGTTGCAATAAATGAGCAAACTGCCCGAGTTGGCCCGGGGACGAGGAAGATTGTTAGTGAGAGAAGGCAGGCCTGTGAAATGGATCCACGGCCAACAGTCACCGTTCTCATCACCACGGAACAAATTATCGTCTCCCCCGCGACCCCTCCCGCCGCCGGCGTCCCGCGGGTCCTAGAGACCGCTGCGGGGGCCCCGCCCGCCAGGGTCCCGCCCAGCGCCGCGGCTCTCCCACCCCAGGGGCGGCTGGTGCAGGGCGCCTCCTGGACCGCGCGAGCCGGCGGCACAGACGTGGCTCGGTGGCGGGCTCGGGCCGGAGCGCACACATCCCCGCCCCGGGATGATGTGGCCGCGGGGCCCCGGGCGCCCGGCTGCCAAGAGCACACGCGGCGGCACGGTCCAGCTTTCCAGGCTGAGCCTGGAAATGATGACTCGGTCGCTCGCTGCCGGCTCGCCGAGAACCGGCGGGACCAGAGTAGCGGGTCTGAATGGCGATCCACAGCCCGGGCTGGCGCCGTGGCCCTAAGTTCCCAAACAGGCATCTCGCCCCGGAGGGATAGGTCTGGGACTCGCAGGCACGAGGCACCTGGGCATGGCGCTTTTCATGTATTGCTTCAAATTCCACGTTGATCTTTGACCCATTTGGCCTGGATTCCCAGAAGGGTAAACTGCGGCTGTTCCTCAAACTTCCCTGACCTTAAGTATTTAGGTTGGCTGCTAAAAATAGACATTCAGGGCGCCCTCCTTTGTCTTCAGAATGAGGCTCTCAGGCCATGGTACCTGGTAGCACAGGGGTTGGGAGAAACACCACCCCATCGCAGGAATGGACCACCTTGCCTTCTAATTCTAGTGTTGGGCTAGACAGCCTCCTGACCCTGGGCGTTAGCTCTGTCACAGGCATGTTGCCCTCACTCTGACCATGTGACCAGCAGAAAAGCCACAAGGACGAAATTGGCTGGGTATATTAAGAATGGCGGGCACCCACCTTATGGTGCTACTGTGGTCCCAACCCTGGGGACTTCTGCCACCCTAGTCCAGACCAATGAACTTAAAATCTCTGAAGATGGGCAAATGCCAGACAGTTTTCAAAACCACAGGTGATTCTACTGCTGCCAGGGCCAGATCCACCCAGGGAATCCACCCTGGTCCTGAAACCTCCCAAAGGCTCCTGCCACCCTCTACTGTGCATGGTCCTTTCTCACTATCTCCCCCTAACCGCCACACCTCCAGGTGTTTGCAGTGTTCCCAAACAGCAAATCAACCCCCTCATCAGATGTAGAGCTTTTTAAAGGTGTGGGGGAAAAAGTCAGAAGTACTAGCTCATCGGCCCCTTCCCAGAACTCAGTTTCAGGCCTGGAGTAAGGCCCCAGCTGAAATCTAGCCCTGCTATTAACCAGTTTTGCATGTCCTTCTTTGTTTCACTCATTCATTCAATCAGAACAAGCAGTGCCATGTAGGGACCTAGGAAGCCAAGCTAAAAAGAAAGGCCTCTTGCCTTCAAATTTTTCTGTCTCATAATAAGACAATGAATCAGCATTATCAGACAGTGTGAGCTGGTTGCTTAATAATAATAAGGCTGTTCCTTAACTACTATGGTATTTATTATATGCTTTGTATGACCTGAGTACTGTACTAAGGTGCTTCATTGCATTATTTCAATCCCATGTCCAAATATCCAGATGAGAGAGTGTAGCATACAGAGTCAAGAAGCTTTTCCACCACATAGGGAAGAAGTAGGTCAGAGCCCAGCCTCAGTTCCGTTGGAGGTACAGCCTGTGTCTGTAACCCTGAGTTCCACCCTTTAGTTTTGGCATCTGGTAAGTGACATTAACATGCAAACCTCCTGGGGTGGTGAGCACAGAAGGAGCTAATGCACAGGTTTCTCAACTACCTGGTCCTGGGCTGTTTGCTAAGGTTCCCAATCCTCAGCCTTTGGGGGGTGATGGGGGGGGTGTTGGTTCTGATTTTGAAGGATATGTTTAGGTGATTCTGTTACTACTGACTTCATAGAACTTCAGAATCAATGAGTAAGAAAATTGAAAATTGTTTCCTTTGTGGTTCATGGCAGACCTGCTTTAGGAGGAGCACAGCTGTTGGCCTGTTGACTCACTGTGACTACGGAAGTGCCCTTTCACAATGGCCCTGATGTGTGCTGTGCCTTGGGCCTTATTCTCTCTCCTAATGATCCATTTGTTTTTTCTCTTAAATATTCAGCTGTTGCTCTTCACAGTAAAAGTTAGTGTGTGTGTGTGTGTGTGTGTGTGTGTGTGTGTGTGTTTTAATCCAGAAGTTGCAAAGCTTTCTCTAAAAGGTTAAATGTGCCCTAAGACTGTCCTTACTTTTCCACTGAAACAAAATAGCCATTGTAGAAAAAGAAAATCCTAGCTGCAAGCCCCGGCTGGTCACCCCTCTAATCTGCCCTCTCTGTGAAGCCAGGAGCCTGGGCTGACACCCTATCCATAAAGACTTCACGCATGTCAGCAGCAGCCAGCTAAGGCAAAGAGCAAAGCTTGTGTCCATCCGGCAGATGGTCTGCCTTTGGAAGGGAATTCTGCCTCCTCATTCATAGGAAATGGAAGCCGACATTACATTCAATACCGGATTGTTAGGTAATGGTGTAGGGTCAGAGGCCAGGATCTGCTCATTAAAATTTCAGATAGATGGCTTGTTGTCCCTTCCTTTCTAGAAGAATTGACCTTTGCAATACTGTTTCCTGTGTGCTATTTTTGTCTAATAGCCTGGGCACTCACAATGAACAGGGCACTTATTTCTTACTCAGGCTTACATTTAGCTTCATCCTCTTTGAGTACAAGCAGATGAAAAATGGAGGCAAAATTTCCTACCCCAGGATTTGACGGGCAGCCACTCATGATGGGGCAGTGAGTGAGTGATGGTCAGCTTCCTCACAGCTCAACCTCATGATGGAACTCCAGACACAAGCTTCCAGAACAGCTTTTATCTCTCCAAGCACAGTTCCCAAGGCTTGTTGCAAAAGTAAACAAACACAGTGGCCCCGTGATTAAGATTCTTGGAAATCCTTTTATTTCCATCTCTTGAGGAGATTGAAAGTCCTGCTCCCATCGGCCCATAAGAACACAGAGTCTGCTTTTCTTTCCATGGATCTCACTTCAAGAACTCGAACTTTCACCTCCTGGAAATCTGTCCCCCTATCAGCCTCCTGGGCAGAACCCACCCACCAGGTTCATTATCGCACCAAGTCAGTACTTAAGTAAGTAGCAGCCGGTCTATATGCTGAAGCAAGCCAGCTGGGGCAGGGAACACGATCGTGGATGCTCTGGGTCAAAAGGGGTGGGGTGGGGAAGATGAGCCCCTCTCTATGCAATGTGTCACCTGCCAGTCGACCCTCAGCTTCCCCACCTCCATACACTGTGATGGGAACTCATTACTTGCCCCCCATCTGCAGCGACTGAGCACCTGGGAGGAACCCCAGTGACTGACATGTCCCTCCTGGCTGCACACGGTGGTCTCTCCTGCTCTTGCTTGGGAGAAAGGAGTGCAAAGTCAGTACTCAAAGAAAGGCCAATGGAATGTCAAAAACCAACACAAGTTTAGTGAGGGCTGAGCCTGGTGACACAGCCCCCATGTGACACTGTGAGTTCTCAGTCTGACCCATGAAGGGCTTCCCCCTTTACTCAGGTTCCTCACTCTGGGGGAAGCCAGCCACCACCCCATGCTCCAGCAGCCCATGAGAGACTGAGAGACCCTTCTCCTGCAGGTGCCATGGCAGCAAGTCATCGGGGAGGTCACATTTCAGACAGGCAGCTCTGGGTACCCCACGGCAACTCCTGAGGGCCCCTGAGTAGAGCTCTCCGGCTAAGCTGCTTCCAGCTGCCCACCCCCAGCAACATCATGAGATCACAAATGTTGTTTTGAGGCGATACTGTGTGTGCGGCGGGGGTCGTGGCACAGCAACACTAATGCACATTTCAATAAAGCAAACGCTCTCCACGCTGTATCCCTCCAGCTTCCCGGATCCTGATCACCTCCATACCAAGGGTACCTCCCTTCCTGTGTTTCAGTTTTGAGCTTGGGTTTTAAATAAGGAGGCGGTGGGTTCCAATTTTGTCCTGCTGTAATTATCAGCAGCGCTGCGTCCCCTCTCACGAGCTGTTTTAGTCCGCTTTTTCACCACTGTGACTTAAAGGCCCAACCAGAACAACTGTAGAGGATGAAAAGTTTATTGGAGGGCTCCCGGTTTCAGAGGTGTAAATCCATAGAAGGCCAGCTCCATTCCTCAGGGCTCCAAGTGAGGCAGAACATCATGGCAGAAGAGTGTGGAAGAGGGAGGAAGCTCACATGATGTCAAGAAGCAGAGAGAGAGATCTCCACTCACCAGAGACAAAATATATACCCCAAAACCAATTCCCCAAAGGCCACCTCCTGCCGCCACACCCCGCCACTTCAGTTACCACCCAGTTAATCCCATCAGGGATTCACAAACCCCATCATTTCTCCTCTGAACTTTCTCACACTGTCTCCCACGTGAGCTTTTGGGGGACACCTCACATCCAAACCATAACACGGTACCTTAATCTACAAGCAGTGGCGCAGTCCTTACAGGGGATGTGTGGGGGCAGGAGGGGGCAGACACGTGCTGGGTGCCATCTTGGCTCTCTGCTCCTTCTGTGAGGATGGATGGGTGAGTGGGGGTGGACTCTCAGTGATGGCAGAATGACCGTAAACCCAGGCGTGGCAGGAGCCTCCGGCCCCAAAGCAAAACCACATCAGGCAGGAAGTGGCACAGATTCTCTGAGCATCTTCACTGCATGCTCAGCCAGTCACGCAGTGATCTCATCTAAACCGCCAGTTCTGGAAGCTGCAAGCCATCTTCTTACCAGCTGCTGAAGAAGCTGCAGGCTTCGCTGAGGGCCGTGTCTTGAATGCAGCAATGAGAAACGGTGACAGAAAGTTTCACTTGCTCTCCAGTAGGGAGACCCTCCGGAGGAGGCCAGGGCAACCTCCACTGGGGTTCCCTTGTTCAGAGAGACTGCATGGACTGGGGGAACTGGGCAGGGGAGGACCTGAAGGCTCTCTGGGGACAAGCCAGTTTCCATATCTGGTCTCCAGCTGGTTTCCTCTGGGAAAGGGGCAGGGCCTCCTTTACAATAGCTGCAGGGAAGCCCATTCAGAAATG